GGTGTATCCATATAAATGGCCCACCCTGTATATTTAAACCAATAATGTAAGCTGCAACCCTAAACTGAATTAGCACAGTTTTTAGATGTTCTTTTTTGATCCTTGAAAATAAAAATGACTCTCCCCCCCTTCATTTAGTCATTCATCCTGCCCAAATAACTGGCTGGAGTCTTTACCAAGATAGCTGCAGAATGGGGAGACTTGCTTGCAGCAAGACTTTATGTCCAAGTTTTATCTAAATTTTGAGTCTTGATTTGTTTTTAAATTCTTTGAATAAAAGTGAAATGCTTTTTATGTTTTTTCATCTTTTCAGTGTGTCTTCAGGATATTTAGATCTGTTTTTACATTGTGGTTACAACCAAAATCATGGACTGTTGATGCTATTGTCTAACTACAAGACTTTATGTCTTGGTCCCAACAGCAATAAAAGAAAGATTGATAATGTACAAAGACAAAGACTCTGATACTGAGGATAAATTATGGCCTTGCACTCACTTACATTAAACTAGCAAGCCTAAATGAGAAAAAAGACTATCCTCAAAAATACTTTATGAAGCTAAGCAGGTATGTTGACCTGCTTAGCTTTAAACTGCTACGTAACAGTGGTTTAAAGTAAAGTTTACTAGCTATGGCAGCTCATTTTTAAATGTTTAACTATACCTAAAAACAGCAAATTTGATATGTTGACCCTGAGTTCCTGTTTTTAAGGTTGTTAAGAATCCTACATGAAGTGTTCTTGTTGCTGCCTTTCAAATAGCGGTAATATAACCTGTCCTGTTTGAGAACCCGAGCATGCGAGTAATCCTTTTAAATCAAAGCACCCTGTGATGGCCATTCTTGTTCTGTCATTTTATATGGCTATAATCTGAAAAACAAACAAAACAAAAAATAACAATAAGCATAAGAGAAGAAAAATGAAACTGAGAGATAAGTTAAGAGCTAAAAGCTAAAATGAGAGTTGAGGAACAATGACTGTTATCTTCTGGGAGCGAGTGAATGTCATGATGACGTATGCCCTAAGGGTGTTTGTGTTTGCCATAACAAGTGGTCTGACAAAAGGTGTCATCCTTACTGCAAATAAAGCCAAACATACGTTTAAACTGGGACAATCTAGTGGGAATGCACATATAGTCAGGAGGGTGTGATGAAGAAATATGTTAGGAGGTCATGAAGGACATAAAGACAACAACAGGAGGGAAAAGGGAGACACCGAGGCAGAAGCTAGATGAGAACTGGGGACCTGAGCAATAAGAAAATGTAAAGATGAAAATATATGAAACTTACATAGCCATCATCATAGGGACTCATAGAGTAATATCCCTTTGGGGACAAAAGCGTCACACAAGCAAAAAAAACCACACACACACACACACAAAACACAGAAAAAAATGTTGTTCAGTTCAAATAGAAAGAAACAAGATTTCACAAGCCAGAGGTCAAAACCACAATGAAGGCCGCTGACAGCAAGCATGATTGTCAAGCTGTGGACAGTTTTTTAGGTCGGTTGGGAGCTTTTCTACAGCCTTTTGATTATCGGTGGCACATAAGAGGCAGAAAAAGAAGCTTAATAACAGCAGCAAGGATTTAAGATTTAATGTAACTCTGACCCGTCTTGACACCTTTAAATGTCGTCTTTATGGGAGAAACACAGTTACATTTCCAAGGCAGATGATTATGTAAATGTATGTGACTGCTTATTGGAAATTTGCGTTGTGTACATTTGACTTTCCAACAATGACTGTATTTATTCAACTCCAGGATCCAGGAAGCACTCATTCTAGGATGCACACAACAGAATGACTAGACAGCTTACGTAAAAGGAACAAAGATGTCTTTTTGTACATAATGTAAACACTCCTTAAGTGCACTTTTCCCTGATTGTGGCTCTTATCTCCTCACTGTTTGCTATGCATACTCTATGCTTCAATAAAATCACATTAAGTTGGGGCCAGGTGTTGTTGTTACTATTCTGAGGCGTGAAGAAGAGGGAAGGAATAGAGCTAAGACTGTGTGCTGCAACTCACAGTGCCTGGCCTGGTGAAGTCTGTGCTCTGCATCACACTCTGTCTCATCTGGCTGCTGAACAGGCGAACACACACATTCTGCAGGTACTCGGGGGAGATCTGCAAAAACAAGGCACGCTCCCCTGAGCTTTAAAATACTGTTTATGCGAGAAGAGCAGGGTACTAATAGTGTATTCCAGTTTTCCACTTTTCATAGACATTTTCATATACATTTTCATATACATTTTCAATCCATTTTGCACCTCAAAAGATTTTCTTGTTGCCGCTCGCATGCACACCACTGGACTTTGAATATGCAAATTTTGGGGTTTTTTCCCCTCTGTGCACGCATTCTTTTCTAACTTGTGCCATGCTTATGGACTTCGTATCTGTTGCATGTCTGACAGAATGTGTGCTTGTTTGTCCCACAATTAGCCTGCCCTACCATCTTTCCGCTGACTGTGGCCTCCAATGAGTCGACCAACTCAGCAGTGATTCCAATCAGGTTATGGTAGTCAGCTTGCATCTTGTTGAACTTCCGTACGTAGCTGGTGATGCGGCGATCTGATTCAGCCAGCTGGAGCTGTAACTGCTGCGTGGCCTCTGTGCATTCACCCAAACAAACAGAAAAAGACGGAGACTGCAGAAACCAACACTGGCTTACATGCATTAGGTGAAAATGCCTGTTATCCTTTCAGATGTCAAGAAAATCATTTAAAAATTAAACAATATTCTGAAATGCCATTTTTAATCAACCTCTCCAACACCAATCTCATCATTGACTTTTCTACTAACCTTTATCAATATTTAACATGTTTTTTATCCATTAGTGAGAGTTCTGTAAGTGTTATTACGTAAATAATACTTTCCACATTATACAAATGAATCAAGCAAAAAATCCTTGGCAAACAGATGTATAATGGGTGACGCTAACATGACTTCTTTATCTGTAGTATTAGTTGACCACTGATTAATGAGAAGGTGTGGCCTTGAGCCTTTGTTCCCTTTGAGATTATGCAAAGTTGAAAGAAAGAAAAAACTGAATAACTGGCAATAAGAAACAGCTGTTGGGGTGAAGAACTGCAAACTGCAATGCACGAAAAGGTAGACTCTGTGATGGGGTAATTACCTTTAGTACTCCTTCCACTCTCCTTCTGCATGAAGCTGGTTAAAGATCACATACTTAGAGACAAATCAAACATTTCTCCTGTATTTATTCCCTTGTTAATGGTTTCATCAGGAATTACATACAAATGAAATAATTAGTAAAAGGACTGCAGATGGAACTAATTAATATCTGAAGCCTCAGTTATGCTTTCTCTGTCGGTTTGAGTCCAAGTGATGCAAATTTCATCATGAGATGCTGAGCGTGGTCCACACGGACATCTGTTTTCCTGAAAGCAGCACAGACTTTACATTACAACATACCAGATGTGCATGCGCCCCAGGTAGCAGACAACAAACAACGACAACTGGTTGTGTTCCTACTTTCACCTAAGTACCCTATAAATGTCGTGTAAGCACATGTAAATGTTATTAATTGGCTGAGCCAAAAAACACTGATGCTCAAATGTTCCCCCTTTTGGTAACCGTGTTCATTTTGTATTTCACTAGAAACATTTTTTTAGCCCATAGCTTTTTATTTTACAAAGCTTTGAAAGTTGGCCAGTTTAGTTTCACAAATATGTACTGAGCAAAGTCTATGTGGTGGGTTTCCAGTATCCCAATAATTCCATTACCTTTGCCTGCCCTTCTACTCTGAGGAGGTTAGAATAACTTTGTTTCTTTCTGTGCATTAGCTAACTTGATAAAATCTAAAACCCCAGTTGGGGACAGTGGTTGTCATGACGGTTGTTATCAACTTTCTCTTTTAGGCTGGGTTTTGTGTTTCCGACTGTGCTCTCAAAAGAAGTTCACAGGTTGAATTACTGTAACTTTACAGTAAGTAGTAAGTAAGTAAAATTTTGGCAATTCCAGAATATTTTTTAATCAAAACTGACTTTTAATTCAACATAACTCACTAACCCGTCAATCTCTCTTCGTGGTACGTCTCTCAGGTTGTCACATGATCAAACATGTTACAAGAGACTGGTTGTTAAAGAATTCCTTATTCACCTACAGAACATATTTTTATTCTACATTTAAATGTGCAGTCCAGCTAAAGAAGGCAAGTTTTTTTGCTCCTCAGTGGGTTTATTTTCTACACATCATACCTTGCCTTCAACGAAATTGCTAGATTTTTACTGTTTGCTAAGTTTTATAAGTTTCACTGAAGCCTGTTAAACTACCTAACCTAGTAATCTGTTAATGTAAAAAGCTGGAATTGAGAATTTAATTGACAAAAGTTATGTTTTACTTGACAACCGTTTACCTGTGACGTGGGTTTGTGCAATGAATGAAAATATGAATTTTGTTAATTTTCTATTAGTTTCAGATGCCCTCCTGTTAGATTTGTCGCTAATGCCATCTCACTGAAATCAAAACAAGACAGACAAATCCATTTGTACATCTGTACACATCTGTTTTCCCAGCAATGGCTCATTAGTGAAGCACAGTAGAAGGATACATATAAAGTCATCAGCCTTGGGCTGTTAGATGGCTTAAGTATCACTGACAGGAACTGCTCCAGCTTATCTCTCAATTTTGGCATCCAGGAATCCTAAAAACATGAAACAGAAGTTAAATATGAAGTATGGTGATGTTCATTCTCACAGTGTGACTTAGTAACTGTACTAGATGGCTAAAAGCAAGGTAATATTCTATAAGTGTAATACCTGGAACAGTTGTTTGAAAGAAGGGTGGACAGTGGGGTTGGGAACAAAAGGCAAAGCATAGTAAGGCAGAAACTCTGTGGTCTGGCTCAGAGCTTCTCCTCGAGTTTCCAGGTACTGCCTGAAGAAGGAAACCCTCTCTTCAAACTCAGCACGGTCCTTGAGGTAGATTTGAGATGTCCATCAAAAACAATTCATGAACAAAATTTTAAAAAATAAATAACTAAATCAGGTAAGCTTAAGGCAGGGGTGTCCAAACTCGGTCCATTTTTAATTGGCCCGCAAGTAATTTTATAAATAGAATAGAATATGTGTATTGCACTTCTTAGTTTTAACACCAGGGGGAGCTGCTGTTGATCAAGGCAGTTGCTCCACCAAAAAGGACAATCACAGAAGAAATTATCTCCAAGTTACTAAACATGGCAGAACCAAAGAAGCGAAAGGTAGAAAGTGAGTGCAGAAAATTTCAGACACGGTGGGAGAGTAAATATTTCTTCAAAAAATTCAAGGGGAAGTGTGTCTGTTTGATCTGCACTGAAACTGTGGCAATTATGAAAGAGTATAATGTACGACGTCATTATGAAACCAAACATCAGGCCTATGCATCCTACACTGGTGCTGAGCGAGAGCAGAAATTAAAGCAAATGGTAGCTCTCCTGCAGGGTCAGCAACAGTTTTTTTTTTCGTGCTCAAATTGTCCAGGAAAAGGCTACAATAGCCAGCTATGAGGTCGCCCAACTCATCACAAGACATGGCAAGCTTTTTTCAGATGGAGACCTCATAAAACACGGCCTCGTTAAAGTCACCGAAATAATGTGCCCGGAAAAAGTGCAGGACTTCAACAACGTCAGCATGTCCAGAAATACAGTTGTGCGACAAATTGAAGACTCGTCAGCCAACATTAAACTGCAACTGTCTGATAAAGCTGTGCTTTTGATTTTTACTCCATTGCCACAGACGCCGCATAGCTGCTAATTTTTTTTTGCGGGTAGTGGACGAGAGCACGAGCGCTTTAGGTGAGTAAAAAATATATTCCACAGTATCTGTGTGTTAATAAGCATGCATGTGCAGGTACACATGCTTCAAATATCAATAATGTGCATCAATTATGTCACTACCCTGCTTTTGCGCACCACTTTCTTTATATGCACAGCGCACGCACACGTAGTCAGCTGATCTCATCTGATGCAGACTTGCTCCTTGATCAAGTGACATTTGTCTGGATTTTTACCAGGAGTGGCGTACGATCAGCACCGCAGCTGGATGGCCCGATTTACATACCCAGCGCAGCTGATACTCACCAGAATAATTTACTAAAATTATATGGACTCCTGTTATTAAGTCCAGTTCAGTCTGTTAATGTTGATAATCTTTTCAAACGGACGTTAATAGATGTTTTGCTAAGCCTAATAACTGAAATAACAAACTTGAAATGTACCCGTCCCATTTTCCCCTTTATTGTTTTTTCTCTGTACTGTAAAACTGTCTAAGAGGAAATCTGAGGCTGCTGTTCTGAGAATGAGCTACCAAAGCTTTTTCTGAATAAATCAATAAAGATCCATTTATGGAAAGCTGTGATGAAGGCAGTTTTGTCTTTAATTATATTCAATAATATAACACATTTGACCACTTTTAAGTGATTTTTTCTAACTTTAATACAGTAAAGTTAAGGTTATATACCTGATTTCTAGTAAGTGGCCCAGCCCCTCCTATATTTTTATGTATGTGGCCCTCAGTGAAAAAAGTTTGGACACCCCTGGCTTAAGGGGTCACTTAAGAAGACGCAATACATCTTTAATTATGATTGCATGTTTTGCTAAAAGAAGCATAAGGTTTTTTTTTTTTACAAATCTGTATAAATAAATGAACTCAAACTCCAATTGACTTCATGATGAAAGGTATTTCATATTGTAAGAGATCCACAAAATTGTTGCCACAGAAGGGCGAAAATAAGACTCTGGCGCAGCTTAGTGGACATATGAAAAACAGCACATAATGACATAAGTATTAACAGACACATACACATGTAAATACACATGTAAATACATACATGTCCTACAGGGTGCCTCCTCAGTGGGTAGATTGTAAAGTGGATGTAAAGGTAGAACTCCAGTCCCTGGGCCTCAGCATCAGTGTCTTTAACTCTGTGGGGAATATTCTCTGTCCACAGTTCAAAGAACACCCTGTGGTCTCCATCATCAAATGAGCTGAGAAGGTCTTTCTACAAAAGTCACATTTTTTGTGGTTTATCACACAGTAATAATTGAGTCTCAATGTACATGACTATTACAGATCTTTACAATTAATACAGACAAATACATCAATTTGAACTTTGCTTTGAGGTTGCAATATTTACATGTTAATTAGCATTTTCTAATCAAATAGTCTTTTCCACTTTTTACCATCACACCTCCATGAAAAATCAAAATGTACCTGAATGACACGTGTCTTTGAGTCTTTGAGAGTATTCCCTCGAGGCTTTGAGAGGAGTTTGCCTTTGCTTTTGCACTCATTCTCAAAACTGTGAAGAGTTTCTTCAAATTCTTCAAATTTGAGGTACTACAAAGAAAAGAAAAAAAAATACAAATAAACACACGTGACATACCACCTCAATCAGAGCAGAATGTAAATATACTTTCAATCATCTATGCATAATTTATTGTAGAAACGCTATATATGAAAGTTGTGCATTGCGATTACTTAATTTCTATTAATGCTCACTGCAATTTGCATATGGCAGTTTACAGAAGAAACGTGCTACCTCCTTAATCATCCCAAGAAGATCGGTTTCATTTGCCGAGATGTCCCCCATATTGGCTGCTTCCTTGGAACTCGTGTGAGTACCGAAAAGCTTTAAAATATCCGGCAGCAAAGAGTCCCACTTTCATTCAATAACGTTTTCGCTCCGAGTTAGTATTTTGCGGTCTGTTTGAATTGGACAGCACAATGGTTTGAGCAACTAACACACAAACACACAGAGAGAGAAAAACATCAACAAAGATACAACTGATGGCGATTTTACGTTACAATCTAAAATTTAAGCACATTTGCCTTAAAAGTGAATTATTTTCATCACAGTAAGACATCAGAGACAGCGTCAAGATGTCACAAGCTAGCTAATAAGCTAGCTCATCAATTAACGTTATGCGACATAAAGAGAGCGCATTAACATCATTACCTCGTTCGTATATCAGGTACTTGGTGAATACATCTCATTGACTCTTCCGAGGCGCTCACGCGTAGAACCGTCCATTTTTGTGAGGATTTGTGGTCTTCATTTGCAACTTATATTGGTTAGATAGCCATTAGCTAGCAACAGTACACAGACAGGACGCTAAAAAACACCTAGCAACCGAATAGACTGGAAAGTAGTGGCAAATGTCGTAAACATTGACGAAAGGATGCGATTTGGTTCTTACGTATTCTTTGCAGATTATTGTGATTTTCTTTTGCTCTTTTTGACTTTATAACAATAATAAGGTATCTCATGAGACCATTTATTTTTTAAACTAGCTGGAAAACCTATATATTTGTTTCGAATATTAACGTAGAGAAAGAGCAGATAAGCAGGTATTTTTTTTTTATTATACGTTTTTTTTGTCTGTGGCTGAAAAAAATGGTATATCTGTCTTTATCTAATTGTGTTATATATTTACTTTTATACTCTTTCTTTCCGTATTTCAAACCGGAAGCACTTTCTATGTCAAAGGTTGAGCACATTGTTCCTGCGCGGTACAGTCTGTTTGGGATAATAATGAATGAAATTTTTACTAAATAAGACATCTAGCGCAAAATTAAATACTCCCCGTCGCAGAGTGAAAACCCAAGTGAGCGCGACGTCATTGAACTTACAGTATAATATCAAAACTTGAGGTAAGTTTTTGGAATCGTTTGGCCAATATGCTAAGGCTAGCAATTAGCATGAATGAGAGATGCTAAAGTTGAAAAAGCTTTGCCAAGACCTTAATACTTTCGCTAACTGATTCGGCAACAACGGGTGTTAGATTGCTGTTAAATGGTCAAAAACAAATGCACGAATTATTAAGGTTTGAAGGTTTTTTTAAGTTGTGATACACAGTTGTTTCATTAATGTATGATTAGTGGTTAAGATTTTTCAGCTGTAGTTGTGCACAGAATAGACGGGGGGAAACAATAAGATAAGCAAACACAAGTTTCTGTGAATTTCAGTGAAGTGTGTTTCTTGTACTGGCAGGGGGGGTTTTAAGTTTCAGTAATGGTTTCAGTCTAATAAAAGTGGCTTCGTTTTGTGTTTTTGTCTTTATTTTCCCCTCTTTTTACAGACTGACAGACTCGGAGAGAGATGGCTGGAATTCTTTTTGAGGATATTTTTGATGTAAAAGATATCGATCCAGATGGCAAGAAGTTTGACAGAGGTGTGTGTAATATTATCATTAAAAAAGTGAAATTATAACACCAACCAACAGATAATTGCTTGTTTTAAAAATCTCTAGTCTGTACTGCCCTACTAGTAGTTTCAGACACAACAGACAGATTATTAGCCATTGATCCACACTCTTTTAACGTAATTTGATCTCGATATAGATAAAGTTTAACTTATAACCCAAGTGCAGTTCTTCTTAGTGAAAGGGATCTGATATTAAGTATTAAACCTTTCAAGTATCCAAACACACAACTTCTGGCCAATCATGAACCAGTCTAACTTTGATTATCAACAAGAGGCATTATTTTAGTTATTGTTGATCTTCGTTAACGCCATTTAATAAAAAAAACAAACAAACAATAAATTATCTAATAGAAACTCTTCAACTGTTAATCTGCAGTATCCCGTCTGCATTGTGAAAGTGAATCGTTCAAGATGGACCTCATCTTGGATGTAAACATTCAGATCTATCCTGTTGATCTTGGTAAGAAAAAAGCCTTCTTTTTTTGTCCCTGTGTGTCTTTGTGTTTTTGTTTTGTTTTGTTTTAAATTGGAAGTCATTTGTTAGTTAATATGTATCAAATACAATGGTGTAAACAGGTCCTATATACAGTATAATTCTAGCAAATGACTATGTCAGCTATTTAGAATATTTTATCAGAATAAACTGGCACTCTTCAAAAGTAAAGATTATACTGTAATACATAAAAAATATGATTGCTCGTTAATGTATCCTCTGACCCACTCAATATTTGACTTGTTCACGTGCAAGTGAGTCATGTAATAGCTGTATAATAACATTTACTCAACCCAAAGGAACCCAGCTTTATGAGTAAAAAGCCTTGAAGAACCATGTGTCAGAATTGTATCTGTAACCCAGTGTGTCCAAATGCACAATATGATAAAGCTAGTTTGTTGTAATATACCTCTTTCATTAAGGTGACAAGTTTAGACTGGTGATTGCTAGCACGTTATATGAAGATGGAACACCAGATGATGGAGAGTACAATCCTCAGGATGACCGACCGTCAAGGTAAGACAGCTGCTTCCAATTTAAAGTTGTAATTTGTGGAACTTTAGCACAAAAAAAATGCTGTTTTATTGGCATATTTAGGAATAATAACATTGTTAATACTTTCTTACGCTTTTAATTTACAAAATGACTTTCACACTCATTCCACTTTGTTTAAATTTCCAGAGCAGACCAGTTTGATTATGTGATGTATGGGAAAGTTTACAAGATTGAGGGCGATGAAACTTCAACAGAAGCTGCCACACGTCTGTAAGTGAAGTGCTTAGTTTTCTCAAAATGACTATTATGTCATATATTTACTGAAATTAATAATCCGCTGGAACAAAACTGTGTTTCTAACAGAGAAGATGACCTTTCTGTGAAACTATTTATGGAAATGAGATCACATTTGAATTTGCCTGTGTGATAACTTTTCCAGACTCTGCCGTTGGTTTGTGCTATTCCAATTTCTTGTGTGTTTTTCTTGTTTCAGCTCTGCTTATGTGTCTTATGGAGGCCTCCTCATGAGGCTACAGGGAGATGCCAACAATCTTCACGGCTTTGAAGTGGACTCCAGGGTCTACCTGCTCATGAAGAAGCTGGCCTTCTAAAACAAACCTGTGGTCACCCGCCCATGGTTCACCAGTCAACCTTAAAATTATATGGAGCATCTACAAGGAGGCTGTCGGAAACTTTTTTATTTTGTTGATTCTCATTCCTCCATCAGGATGGACTAAAGACTGAACACTGTGGCACATAAGAACTGCTACCGACTCCACCTGCAGACAAACTGTAAATAAAGACTTCTTTTATACACATTGGCATGTTTATTCTTCCTTATATCTTAGCAACTGCTCTCAAACGAACATTTAATTATCCTTGTACTCTGCAAGAAGGGTGAGTCTAACATTATTACACAGGCATCATGTGTGCTGCTATAATTAGGATGGAAGATGGTTCTATAAAGAAACAGTGTTAATTGAATAAAGTAGTTCAGAACGGTGAACTTTCAGGTTTGTAATTACAGTTCCAATAAATCTGTTTGCAGTTTTTGGCTCCATTCATTCCTCCTGCAGACCTCAAATGGGCCATTTATCCTCAGCCTACTCACAACAGCAACAATGCATGTTGGCTGATGTCATTCTGACTCTGCACAGGAGGCAACAAGGGATCCACAACCACAGAGCAAAACCTTAAGCATGTGTAAAAGGAGCAACACACATGATTAATGCCCAAAGATTAAATCTCACTAAAAGGAAGATTTAGCAACACACATGAGGTAATCCTACCTCATGTGTGGGACTTCACAGTGTGACGGGAAATGTTCTACATGCCAACAAACTAAAATGTGAACACACGAGAGACAGAAAATTTAATCAAGTGTACACAGGCAGCTTTTTGTATGGAAAGCGGGTTTTTTTCTTCTAATGGAAGTCACAAGATGGGGAACATTTTTGTCTAACTCAGACTAGAGTTTAGTGATGCAATAAAGAAACGATGTAACTTCTCCGAGGTCTTCTGCTTTTCCTCCTGCTTGGTATCTCCGTTTTCAACATCCTTTGTCCAACAAATCCACTATTCCTCATCATCATCCCTTGGCTCTCCAACTTTATCTCCAAAACACTTGACGTGAGCTCTCCCTCTGATACACTCATTTTCTAGCTTGTCCACTTTCTATGAAAATTTTAGCATTTCCAGCTTCAGGTTTAGGGTTTTTAGTTTAGTCTTACTGTCCAAATTATACATCATAGCAGGTCTCACTCTCGTCTTATAAACCTTCTTTTTCACCCTTGCTGCTAGCCTCCTGTCACAAATCACCCCTGACACTCATCTCCACCCACTTCACCCTGCCTATGCTCTCTCCCACTCCTAAACTGCATTAATCAGCATGATTGAATCCACACTCATTAGCGAATATCCAGATTCAGTCCAAGGGGTTCAAA